TGTTGGACTGCTTAACTTGAATGGAGGAAAAACAAAATGGGAGTTACACGGTATTGTGATGGAAACGCTGACTCTGCCAGTGCAGGAACATCAGAATGTTTAATTTTAACTTTTCTTGCTGGACATACTTAACAACCACCAAGGATAAAATTACTTTTTAATTTACAACTTATCTCTCCACACTTTTTGTAGTGGTCAGAATTCCCTATTATAATTCTTCCCTAAGGCTATATCTTGAAGTTTCACTTCAGCTGCCATTTTAAATTAACTTTTAAGAGTGTGCAGAAAGGAAAACCTCTCTATTCCTCAGTGACTCTCAAAAAGCACAAGTTCCAGCAGGATTATGCATTAGAGAGAACCTTGAACTGTTTTTGTTAAAGCCCTGGTGCTTACTCAGCCAGTACTGTTCGACTCTGTTTATATTTTGTTCACAGTCATTAAAATCCCAGACACACGTGGTCATATGTGTTTCCATGCATGGGGGGTTCTGAGGGCATAAAGAAAAAAGAAAGATATATTGCATGAATTGCTACTTGATGTCAGTGTGCGTGAACTGCTGCTCGCCTGGCATCTGACTGTCCTTTTTTGTTTGCTGTTCTGCTTTTGCTGCCATACAATAATGTAGCCAGTGGAAAAGCAAAGTAGGCTTTGAGGCGTGAAAAGAGAGTATCTTAACCATTGTTCCTCTGCTTCCAAAATGCCTTCGGTTTGCTTCCTTGGGGTATTGACTTTCCAGGCCAGTGATTGTGTTTCAGTGTCTGCATTAAATACTTAATTGCTATTGTTTTAACAAACACTACATACAGTGTAGGTGAAAACTACGCTTAGTTGGAGAAAAGGCAAGGCAAAGAGTGGTACAGCGGAAACGCAGGCAGGAAGAGAAATTGAGGAAAGAAAATGAAGAAGAAAGTAGGAAAGAACAGAAAAATTCAGTGTAATTTGAAATTTGGCAAGATACTTAATGACTAATATCATGAATTATGGTTACATAAAATGTATATTCCTTTTAATTTATTTTTTTGCCAACCTTCATCTGACATCATTGCAGAGGTTTCTCTTCTCTTTGAAGGGGACAGTTCTCTACAAATTTGCATGAACACTAGCATGGCCTACAGAAATGCACCTAGGATGCAAGCTTGAGTTTTTATTCTGCGGGCTGATACATACACATGTATGCAAAACCTTTTGTTGGTCTCTCTGCCTGTTTTGTTTCTATCTGCACACTTTATGCAATATTGAGACCCTACAAGAAAGGGATAGGGAAATGAGTATATCATTTTTGTACTTTCAGTATCCAGAACCTGCAAGATAGATGTATTTTTAAACTAATGTTCTCTACACAAGGATTTCTCTTTTTCTCAAAGCATCTACAGTGCGTTTGTTCCATTGTGTTACTCTCTGTCTTTTGGTTTTGGTTTAGTTTGGATGTTTCTGGCTCTCCAGAAGCATTATTACCTACTCACAGCTAGACAGTAATCCTCTTTTCCCCAAGAGAATCAGTAGGCTGGAATAGACTGGATGTGAATTAATGCTGCCCCAGTTAGCATAAAGCTGGAATTTTCTTGTAAGACTTGCTTTGTGGCTGTTTTTCTGTGTCTAGCCATGAGTCTTTCTAGTTTTTTTGGCTCAGTCTCCATTTGATAGTGATTTGTTGCTTGCTTTGGTGATCCCTCTGCAGAAAGAGAGAATGCTTCAAAGATTTGACTTTGAACATTTTTCAGTTCTTAGGAACAGAAAATCCTCTCACCATGACTGTTCCAAGTGTAATGGCAGTAAGGCTGATGGGGCCTGTAGATAGCAGTTTTGTGCTCTGTAATAGCCCATACTATATAAAAGATGGAAAACTAAAAGTCAGTCTTTATTTGTGCAAAAAAACCTGCATATAGTTTTATTAGCAGGCCCTTTTTTTAATTCACAAACTTTCTTGAACTGAACTGGCGACTACCAAGTTATTGCCGGTTAAGTATTTCAGTTGAGTATGTTCTAATTCACTTAATTTTGATGTAATCCAAAATAAATTCATGTTAATTTATCCTCTCCTTCTATCACCATGTAGATAGACAAGAACAAAAATACAATTAGAAAATGAAAGACAATATGACTAAGTCTGTTCTGGTATTATTCATTTTAAGTAACTTTCCTCTTGCCCATTGTGAAGGTGAGTGCTTCTTTCCGCATTAAACAGTGCAGTCCAACATCAGGCCTGTTTACCATTCATCAAACATCACCTTAATGACAGCTGAGGTAATTTTGTATTGAATTGCTTATGTATGTCTTTTTTTCTGTGGCAGACAGTGTCTGATGTAGCAGGTCGGGACTCGTTTTCAGTGGTATGTCACTGATGGGATGCAATCAGTCTCAGTCCCAGCCAGCACTGAGGAATTGCTTCCACTGCTTGAGGCTGACTGTGTCTATGCAGAAATCAAGGGACAGTGTAGTATTTGTCCTCCTAGGAAAACAGTTTGCTTATTAAATGTCATCTGACAGAAGAATATAAATGTTTTTTTTTATTTTAGGTTCATATGTTTATCACAGTTTCTTAAACATTTTGTGAGCATGGAATTTGGGAGACAGTATAAAGCCATACAATTTGCACAAAACTAAAATGGGATCTATCTGAAAAAATAATTAGGCTTGGAGGAGAGGTTTTCCTTTGCAGGATGTTTCTGGAAAGGAAAGAAAAATAGAACTAATGGTTAAGTAGAGCCTCATATTACAGGCTCTTGTCTGTGATTGTCTAGAAATTGAATTAACCTCTCTCTTGTGCATATCGTTTAAAATGTAACTTGGGAAAGGCTGTACAGAGGTTAGGACTCTGAAGGGCTAATAAGCAGAAGTAGTAGCAGAGGTCCTCACACCAGGAGAAGGGAGGACTTGTGACAAGAGAGGAAAGGAGGGGAAGAAGGGGAAGAGAAATGTTAATTTTGGCAGTTGAGCTGACGGAATAGATTTGTCTCCAAGCCCAGTAGTTGTAAAAGTAGGCCAAAGGGGTCTACTGAGTAAACAAATGGAAGTTTGTTAGTTCCTTCCAGAAATGATACTTTCTGTGTGAAGTGTATGGGCACAACAGCAGGCGAAAAGGAAGTTGCTAGTCTTTCAATTACAGAAGACAATTACATATGGTTTTAATGCCACTATCAACATTTTTTTGCCTTCAGGAATAAAAAATCTATTGTTCATAAACACAGAGGGCTTGCCCACAGTTCTGGGTGTTATTAAGGGGAATTGTCTCATGTGTAAATCTGTTAGGTTTAACTCTGCATTCTGAAATAAGCATGAAATTTCAGTTTTACAATCTAATAGTTTCAGAAGAAAGTTTTGTAACATTTTTTATTTCTGTAAATTTCATGTAATTTACTAATAAGAAAAAACAGAGATAAAAGTGAGGCAGTTCATTTCTAAAGACTCCTCACTGATTCTTATCGTGCGGTATCTGTCGTCCTGTAGTGTTGCATGCTTGACCTAAATAGGTAGAGGTGTTCTGTAACTCTTTGGGGTTACTTTGTTTTGGTTTTGGGGGACAGAGGAAAGTCATCTGATAAGGAGGAAAAAAAAAAAGTTTAATTCTGAAGTACTACTGGTATGTAACTACAAAAAATTTTCTCATAAACATCTACAAACTAAAGGAAAAATACCAGGGTTTTTTGGTGGCAGATTTTAAGTCTTTTAAATTATTTTCAAAAATACCATCATCTTTTAATTTGAGTTTACTTTCCATAAATTTCTGTTGTTTGATTTTTGGTGTTTTTGTTTTTTTTTAATCCTAACTACAGTAGGAAACTGAAAGTGTATGGGGGTAAGAGAATGAAAGATCACTTTTCAAGCTTGCTGTCAATAATTGCTCATTTTGTCTTTATCCTCACCACAGCAAGATTTGAAATTTGGGGTGGCAGAGGAAGAAGAGGAAAAAGAGGCCAGAGAGAGAACATGGAAAATTGCAGATTAAGATTATGAGGTGAGAAGAAGGGAAGGAAGAGTAAAAAGACCAGAGTGAGTTTGTAGGACAGGAGCTCAGAAAGACTTGGCAAAATTTGTTTTCAAGACATAGTGAAAATTTGAGAATGGAAGAAGGCTGTTCCCTAATGATTTTGCTTTAGTGACTCACCGATCTACCATCCCTCGCAAAAATGCATAGCAGTCCCTGTAAAAAAAGAATTATCCACCTCTTGTACTTGCTGGGCTGCTAGAGATACACGTCTCAGGGAGCAGCCAGTGAGGTTAGGACTAGCTGATATGAGAAAATCAATCAGAAGAAAGATGGGAGCTGGTACCTTCATGGAAGCAACGTGGACTGAGAACATGGACTAGCTCTTCAGGCAGCCTGCACTGGAAAATGCTTGACTGACCCGACATCAACAAAAGAGGCTATACTTTTGCCTAGTAATAAGTCACCCAGAGAAGTGTCCGTTTTGCCTGTACCTAAACCCAGCCCTTTTGTTGGGGCATACCTTTTGGTTAGTGGAACAAATATTATATACATACATAAATATCCAGAGCTAGAAAACCAGTTTATGTTCCTGATCTGAGGTAGGAGTAAACCTATTTAAAGTTTAGCAATATTGAACGTGTACCATGAGATTATATTAGGTTGGCTGGGCATGACAGACAAAAATCAAACATCCTGTGTGGAGAATCGGTGAGTATTAGGAAGAAGGGAGTAGAAAGTTAAACTGAAACAGATTAGACTGTGGTGAGAGCAAGCCAGTACATAAGATATGCAGAAAGTATTAATTCTACCAAACCGGGACAGGGAGTAGCTTTAAATGTAGGTGTGTACAATATTCTTAGCATTCAGAAATGTCTCACCACCTTTTAAAAATTTTATTCCAGCAAGCTTTTTCTTTGCGAATGCCATCAAACACTTCAAAGCACCATGTGCTGATTTCAGTAGCAATTTAGATTTTTGCAGCACAGTGTAATGTCTTCTTGTGTGCGATGAGCCCGAACCAATCTATTATGTTCTTTTTCTCTTTGTCTTTCTAAATGTGTGTGGGCTGCAGATGGTTCTGTGAAGGGAAAGAACTCCAGAATACCCCTGACATTCAGATCTGCTCTGGAAGTGGAGGACTTCATTCACTAATTATAGCAGAAGCCTTTGAAGACGATACTGGACGCTATACTTGTCTGGCTTCAAATTCCGTTGGTTCAGATAGTACATCAGCTGAAATATTCATTGAAGGTAAGACGTCAAATAATAAGATACTTGAAACATACAGGAAAAATAAGATGAAGTTTACTTTTGGTTCTGTATGTTAAGATTACACTTGCTTTGGTGGTATTTTTATGGTGTTCCTCTGCTTCCTTTTCATGCAGCACGTTTTGAACATCACATCATATGAGTTCAGGTGTTTCAAGGAATGTGGGTAGATTGCTATTTATTTATGGGACAAGTAAGACAAAGAATGGAACAGGAGGAACAAGCAGAGCCTTTGGCATATGGTTAGCTTCTATGTAGTACCCTCTGTAAATCAAAGATTTGGCTGGTGATACCAATAATGATTTTCACGATAGCAGTAATCCCCATCTCAGTTCTCAGCTTCCTTCTAGTGCAGCTAAATGTTGCTGCCCAGATGATTCTTCTTCAGTCATGGGTAAATGTATTATAATTCTTCATATTTGGTACGCTGACTTTAAGTCAGGTTAAAATTCAGTCATACTGGTTTTGTCCAGAATCTACTACTAGTAATTGACAAACTATTTCTTAACTTCTAAATCAGTCATAATTCAAGTAGTATTTTCTCTGAAGAAAGTTAATGACATGACCAGGAGTGAAATTACTGTAGACATTATCATGTTAATTGAATACTGATTTTTATTTTAATTCACGCACCTTTCAAACATTATGGTAATATGTATTCTTTTACCAGTTTAGTTTAAAATTAATTTAAATGGCTAACTGAAAGCATAAAACAAATTAATACAAGAAACACTCATAATAAATCTAAATAATACCATACCAAAATGATTAAATATCTTTTGATTAACAAAGCAATGAACTTTTCACTATAAATTAGCTAAATCGTGGCATAAGTGCATTTATAGGATTTCTTTCATTATTTTTTTTATTCTCAGAACTTTATTATCCCACAGTGGGATATAATAGCAAAATCCCCAAGGTTTTCTGAATCTTATGGACTCTAGGAAGACTTTTCTTTACAGAAGTAAACATGAGTTCAGAAATACTCAGGTATGGTACAGATATATAATACTGTGTGAAGTTATTATAACAGAAGCAACACTAAAAAAGAACTAAGTAGGTAGAGAGATACAGTTAATAAAACAATCACTTTTTTGAGATCTGGCAAAGTCTTGCTATGTGGAAGTGCTATCTTGAAGTTTTGCCACATGTAACTGAAACAGAGAGTTGTACATGTCATTAGGCTTCTCCTCTACAATCTTTAAAGAAACCAGATTGTCACACAAGCATTGCTTTGTACATTAATAGTCTTGATGACACTGATGCCCGCATACTTTCTTCTGTGCCGCAGGCCCAGCCACACAAGACCTGATTATCCTTTGCTCAAGAGAAATACTTCATGTAGACCCATTTGACTCCCTTGACATTGCTTATCTCTTCTTAACTTTTCTGTGCTACTGTTGCTTTGATTTTTGTAGTCTAAACCTTCTAAATAAATAGGGTACTCGGGTGCCTCAGTCCAGGATTTGCTTCATTGTAATCAGTCTACGCTATACTATGCATATTGATTATGAATTGAATATGATTTGTATTACAAATATAGATATGCGTGTGTATGCACAAACCCTTTGATGTACTGCATACAAGTCTAGAATAAATATTGCATGAAGTATGAGTTGTTAGGAAAAATTAAGACAAAGGGAATAAATGCCTTCGTATTTTTTTCTGTAAGTGAGTTCAGGGTATTGCCAAACACATACATTATATCAAGACTTCCACTGGCAAGAGATACGAGTACTAAATGTTGTTTATAGGTTTATATAAGTAGTCTGAACCATGGAGATGTGGGTAGCAAGTTTAGTCTGAAAATGTCTGGCTATACTGAATTGCTCTTGCTTAAGACTGAAGATTTGTTATCTGTGTATAAGCCATATATTTGCTTAAGCTTTAAGTTTTAACTTTCAAGTAAATAAAATTATACATTTCCAGTAGAGTAGTAGTAGTCAGCATTTTTTTTACTTTTTTGGCCATATTTGTTTCAGTATGAAGGAGGACAGCTAAGAGCCTAGGGAAAACAGTTTGTAGTTAAATTGGCATGGTTATGATTTCTGTAACTGTCTAAAGTACAGAGTTACAATCTTTTATCAGATAAGAAAAACTGCAACAGTTTATTACAGAGAGTTCTCGATTCTTGAAGTGAAACGCAAAAGTAGTGCTGTGTTTTCTTTCGAATGTAAACATTAAATCAATCAGTAAAAGGAGATGACTTTATTGAAAATGTTTTCTTTTCCAGGTGCCAGTTCCACAGATTCAGAGAGTGAAAGTTTAATTTTCAAATCAAAATCTGGAGCTATGCCACAGTAAGTGTGCAAAGGAGAACCACTGCTGTGGAAATGTTAATTAATGTGCTTATTCTGTCAAAGAAGTCTCGCCCTACCCTCATAGCTATTTTGTTGATATCAACTTTTCATATTCAGGAGTAACTTTAAGTTAACGAAGTCTTCATTTGTAATCAGCCAGCCCTGTGCCTCAAAAAAACCATGCAGAGGCCTACAATTAAAGAAACAAAATACAATTTAGTTTGTTTCTTAAATCATACTATTTATTGGGTGTGAAAGTGTAAATTAGCCAAAGATTAGATTCTACTCTAGCTTTCTCCAATGTTGACCTTTTTAGCTGATATTGACGTATTATCAGCTAAAATGATGTAGAAATGTAGATGTAGAAAATATAATGTGGCTGATCGGTTACAAACTAACGTATTCTGATTTCAGATCTTATAAAGTGCTTGCTATTTGCTTTTTTTTCAGGGCCCAAAAGAAAACCACCTCTGTTTCCTTGACAATAGGATCTTCTACACCGAAGTCAGGAGTCACCACAGCTGTAATTCAACCTATCTCTGTGCCCAGTCAGCAGGTATTTTTAGACAACAATTTTTAAAACAGTATAATTATTTTAAATTTTATTTCAAAATTTGGAAGTCCTGAAAACCTCTGCCATTCTGAGGAACTATATTATTGAACTATAAATTTAGCTTATTATGTTAAGAATGACAATTTTAAAAAATTAAGCATATGTCTAGTGAATGGGGCATAAAAGTAAACATGCATACAGATTCTTACACAGTATTTATCAACACAGCCTGTAAGCAGCTGACAACTCTGTTGATTATGAAAATTACAGAATATATCACTTAATAGTGACTGGGTCCAATTCCAAAACAATGTAATACAAATGAATGCCTACAATATATTTTAGCAAAAGTTTTAAATTTTATTATTAAATTAATATAATTAATTTAATTATCTGATCTTAGACCTAACTTCAAGTGCTTTGCTGCATCAAGGCCTAAATTTTCTCTGGGCCTTTTAGAGAAAATTAAATTTTACTGAATAGAAGTTAAATGTAGAAAATCAACATTGATTAGTTTATACTAAGTTTTAATGCCACTGTGGATGACTCTAGATTTTGCATATAAATCATATAAATAAAATAAAAATTTATGTTAAGCTGTATATGGTAAATTCTTTTCTGTTCCTTTGGCTAACCTTGATAAGCTTTTAGGTACCTGGATTTATTTGTTACTACATCAGTCAAGGTATGTAATAACAGGAGATGCAAAATGCTTCGGTGCAACAGACTTACCTGAATGATATTAACAGGAGTCAAACTTTCAAAACACTTCAAGGCAAAGACAGTCGGATACAAAATTCTCATGGGTAGTACAGCAGCCTTTACAGCTTGCATTTTGATTTCAGAAATGTAACAGATGTGAGATAGTGATGTCAGTAAAGAAGCATGCTAGAACGAGAACACCACAATAAGGCTCTGCATTTGAGAGTTTGCGTAGATATATGCAGGCCATATTATTGAAATAATATTCTTTCCATTTTTTAGCATGGTTGCATTGCTTTGCAGGTTCAAAGTCCTACTTCATATTTGCAACGTCTGGATGGACCTAAGCCTATCTCTTCTGCACCCATTTTTACAAAGGTATGGTTTATCTGTCATGGTTTTTATATCATACTCCTATAGTCCAGAAGGAAATATAACAATGATATATCCGAATGGAGGAATGTTTGAGTGTATTAAAACTTTTACAGTTTTCATTATCCTTTTCAGTATTAATGACTTCCTAAGAAAATAGTTTTCCACTGCAACAACTAAGTTCTTATGCCTTCTACCCTATTAAAATCGATAGTGGAATTACTTGAATATCCTATATGTGTTTGTCTTATGCCCGTGACTGTCCTGCATTGAGAAATCTTTATAAAATAAAACAAGGTAGGCATCAATTACACATCATAGTCATAATAAAGCCTCATTCACAATAATTTATCTACTGACAAGAACAAATAACACTTTTTTACTTTGTTTTAGAAAAAAAATCCATGCAAGCATGTTAGTTAGAAAAGCAGTTCAGATATTCTTCATTGGGATGTCTTGTAAAATGTAAGTCATGGACTTGCTGGAAGGGAAACTTTTATTCAGTAATTCTTAAGTAATTGTTTAAGTCAATGTTTATCCTGAGATTTATCCCAAATGAAACTTTGAAACTGGAAATTAGGTAACAGCAAAAAGAAGGACAGTGTATTTCCCTCATCTCTGAAATACACTTTTAATCAAAAATATTATTTTCGTTTTGCTTCAAACCATTATTTCCATAGCAGTAATTATTATTTAGTCACCATTTGTTGAAGTGAAAATGAAGAAAAGACAATATTTCTTGTTATGACTTCAGAAAGTCAGTTGCAAGTAGTTTTGCCTGGAGATAAGTGGGAGTAAGTCCTGTTCTCCACAACTGTCTAGGCTGGCTCCATCATATCCCTTTCTCATATCAGGAAAGGTCTGATTCTGTCCTTCATAATTCTGCACTGATACTGCAGATATCACTGGAGAGTGAATAGTGGAAGTACAAGGGGTTAGAGAATGTGATTACTGCACGGTAGGGAGGCAGGCAACTTCCTAGTGAGACTGGAAAATAGGAGAAATCCAGCCCTCATTCAGAAACTACCAAAGCAATCAAAACTCCACTGCTCTTTCTCAGTCCTTGTATCTCTTGTCCCTGAAATCCAACATTAACTGACTTAAGCCAAATCAAAACAACTTTAATTACGTAAGAAATGAACCAGATATGAACACCAAGAAACGTACTTATCCGGCTTCATGACACCAAATTCTTTCTATGCAAACTTCAGCGAACAACCCAAAGATTTTTAGGCTTCTGTGTAACAAAGTTCTTATGTATTTGGTTAACTAGAGATCTATGAACAGTAGCTAAGGATAACTCTGATCTTAGACCTAACTTCAAGTGCTTTGCTGCATCAAGGCCTAAAAGTTTCTTAATAAACTGGAAAGGGAATGAAACAGCCAGTACAGTTAAAAAGACTCTTTGATTTATAATTTTAAGATGGATAACAAAGGCAAAAATAGTGTCTGTCTCCTGTCAGTTCTGTTACTTGAAGTACTGTGCTCCTCTCTCACTGTAGTGCTTCATAAAAGGTTAGACTCATCCTGAATTTTTTCAGATGTATGTAAGAATTTATTACAGCTATAACACTGTCGCAGAAGCTATGCATATACAAGCTAATATATCCTAATCATGTTTGTGTCATCTACTTATGCCTGATTGGTTTTAAATGACTCAGAGGAAGAGCAACTCCACATTCTAGAGATTGACCTGAAAGCAGCCCAGCTACTCTCTCAGGACCAGGTCAATAAATGTGTAGCTAGCTGCAGTATTTTCATTTTATTTTGTGGAAGAAGGATGAAAAATCAAAGGTCAGACTGCAACTATCTGCTTGTGATCATCTGAGAAATTAAATACTAATATACCTTTTACTTTTTTGGTCCTGTTAAGAATGTATTTGAAAATAACCTACTCAGGCATTTTTAACTACATAGCTGATATTTGAAATTTAATCAGAGTGAAAATAGAGCTCACAGAAAATGTCTATTGCAAAAATGTAATGACACAATAAAATAAAGTTGAAATACAAGGGGAAGAAGAGACTATTTTTCAAGAATGTAAAATGCTCCTCGTTCACATGCATTGTGGTTGTTATATTTCAGGAGCTACAAAACTCCACAGCATCTGAGGGACAAGTCGTGGTATTGGAATGCAGGGTCAGAGGACCCCCTCCCATTCATGTTAAGTGGTTTCGACAGGGCGTTGAAATTCAAGATTCTCCAGACTTCAGAGTTCTCCAAAAGAGTAAGGCAATAATTGGAAGTGGCTACTTGTGATACAGGGCAGGGAAAGATTATGATGTTAGTCTGTCAGGGTTGAGTTTTGGATAGAGATCTCTCATCCTCACATTTCAGTGATTAGAATGGCTAGAAATAATAACTGAACTACTGCTACCAACAGGCAATTAAAGTAATTATTTTGTAATGTGTCTGCTCAGGCTCTGTACTTGTATACAGTATTTCAAAGTAACATGTTCATTCAGTATACTGTTGTTTATTGATGTGATCTCTAATACCATTTTTCTTGGTTTTTTCCCCTCCTTATGATGTGATATGCAGAGCCACGATCTGCAACTGAACCTGGTAAGAATCATATGAAAAAACAATTTCGTGATTCACTAACTCTTTGAGTTTGTGCTGGAGTCATAAATAGAAAAGTGTTTCTGCTGAGCATTGGTAATGTGAAACCCCCTTAAAGACAATGTTTCTTTATCACACCTTCCATGCTCTACACTGTCCTTTACATCAATTCCTTTATTAGTTAAACAGTAAATTCCATTTAGACCAGCAAGGAGAGTCTCACAGCTTAAACATTGAAGCAAACTTTGTTCTCAGAAGATGAGCAATGTGCATGCTACTGAGGAAAAAGAACAAATCCCACAAAATTCCATTACCCAAACTGTACTCATAAGAGTTTCACAACACCCAACCACTAAATGCTAGTTTTTCCAATTTAGCTTGGCAGATGTGAAGTGTCTTAAATGCAAGTAAAGGCTGATCCTCAAAAACAAGGGCACATCACTGAATTTTTCTAGCCTATTCACAAGATAAAAGTCCTGGATTTCACCAAGCAAAAAGTGTTCTTCCAAGCACAGGTTTTCTCTAGCTGCTTCATTTTCCCATTATATATTGTTACATGCTGTGGTAGTTTCCTGAATAATAAGTGGGTGCTAAAAGAGACAATGTTTGTTCTTTTCTTGAGTGTTACAAGCAACATGTACAAGAGAAGACTGAGCCTTGCTTTACGAGGGTGGCTGGTTGTGCTTGAATATGCTTGAATTTGGAGTGAGTTTTAATTATGGAGTAGGAAGATAAAACAGAAAAGTTTTCTAAGACCTGGATATTCCCAAAAAGTGTCTCTGAACTGAGGGACCTCAGTGATGGGGGGATGTTTCAGACTTTGAGGGGTCGTATTGGCAGTCTTTGACTCCTGGCAAAACAGACTTAACAGCTGAGTGTTGTTTGTAAAGTAGCGGGGTGGCTATGAGGATATGGAGTAGGAAAAAGCAGTGAAGCATTAATCCTAGTAGAAAAGCAGCTATCTCTTAGCTTTCATGGGAAGGTGAGGAGGTGAAGAGGGGAAAAGCTTCTGCTGTTCTTTGTCAGTTATTCACTAATTGTCTTACTGCTTCACAAAATTATTATATATCTATTTTACTTCATGACCATTATACATATACATACACACACACGTGTGTGTGCATGCGCACATACACATGCATGCTCTATCCTGACAGTTAATATTTTTGTGGTGTGTAGCATTACCACCTCTAGTAACAGCTGATGCCCAGAATGCATGTACCTGAATGATTTGATATATGGAGGCTTGCAATGTGAGCCATGTGAAGGAAAAAAAGAGTGCTTTAAAACTAAATTAACCTCTAATGAGGAATTAAAACATGTCTGAATGCTAACAACAGGCTATTGGTAGTTTGTAATCATAACCCAAACTTTACGGTTTAAAAATTGTAAGTTACAGTACAGAACAGTTTGAGAAGAGTTTCAGTATTGCATCATGCCTTTGGATATGCAAAGAAATAAAGAATAGATTTGTGTTGAAATATGTTCAATTCTGTATCTTTCTTGGAACATTGTCCTGTAATAAATATCATAAAATAAATCTCCAACTTAGCTGTTTTCTTGATATCTTAGAAAAAAATCAGATCAATGGGTTGACTTTTTTCCCCTTCCCAAAGAAACTTATTTCCTGTCCAAGTAGTAACATCTTTTCTAGATTTAATCTACCAACACTATGAGAATAGTACCTAGTATATCTAGCTCACTGTTACTAGGAGATTCTTTCCTACAAAATCACCTGAGCTGCATTTAATCTCTCCTTTAACATGATAGACAGCATCTGAAAGGACTGAAACTTTATGCGTAAGCTTCTATGAAGTCTAAATTTACCAGCATATCTTAGGATTTTTCTTTTTAATATCTAATTTGAAAGTGTTCTGTCAAAACTCACAATCATGAATAATGTTTGCTTATTTTTGGTAATCTTTTTTTACACCTTTATGCTCTTTAGGCAACAGAATGTGTATAATGCTAGATCAATAAAATATTTAAGAGTAGGAATGTGGTGTTATCTGGTAGAAAGGAGAAGCACTTGTCTGCTTGAGACAAAAGGTTCAAATTCCACTGTGTAAATAGTTGAGTGCAAAGGAAATCAAGTATTATGCCTCTCGCTAGAAGATTTTTTTTTCATGGACAAATAAGTAATTTTCAGTATTGTTAGTTGCAAGTTTATATAGCCTATCTGACAGATATTGCTGTGGAATGAATGAGAATATTCATGATAGTTCACAAAGCTCACAATTACCTTTCATAGCTACTACCTGAAATGGGAAATAGAAGGTGGGATTCTGAGTCCAAAAAGATCATCACTTTGCCAGCCCTCTCACACACGTGTGCCATCATATTGATGGTGCTGAATGCTCTGCTTCCTGTATCTGGTTAGCTTGCAGACCCTGGGAGAAGATACCTGAAGCCTTCTAAAGAGTACTAGGGAATGGATCCTTACATGAAAGGTGCATTTCTTGAATTTCACAGGTAGAGAAAAGTTGTTTAATATCACAGTATCTCATACCACTCTCGGAGCAGGTGGCAAGGCAAGAGTAGGAAGGCACCTCAAAATACTAGTTTGATGTCTGTATTGTTGCGGTTATCAGACATAAGAGTAGTGAATGCCTGACAGCAGACTGTCTTCTTTTTTTTTCATGCTTGTGATTCTGTTGTAATATATATTTCTAAGCACCTTCCTGCTACCCAAAACTGATGAAAGAGTTTGAGTTTGGTATTTTGTTCTCCGTGGATTCACTGAGCTGAGTACTATCCCTGTAAGATTTGTGCATGTATCAGTTCCTACTAAGCCCTATTAAATAATGTGCAGTATCTTACTCTCCACTAAAATTAATGACAGTACACTTACTGGCTCATTTGTGTAGGAATTGACTCTGTGCATGCAAAGGGAATGTAAATAAAGTTTGGGCAAAATGTAAATATTTCCTGTTGGCATAAATGATGAGCAGTGTTTTGTGTATTAGTAGAAATACTGGTAATAAGTAACACTGTTTTTTAGGATGTCATGAAGGATCTTTAAATTTCTTCAACAGGAAGGTGGATGGGTACAAGAAACGTAATAGATAAAGGACTGGTTTGTGATGTAATTCATACTCTAAGGAGCCAGACAAAAGAAGGCCTCTGCCTTCCCGCAGAGGAAATTGTTCGTAAGCAAACACGCTACTGCTGTTCAGTGCAGATGGTGAATATGTGTGCAAGATTGATAGGGAAACCAACACGCCTATGCTAGAGAAGTATTCGGAATTTTGAAAGATGGGCATGATTTCTAAAAATTTTTCCAAGTGTACAACTTCCATGGAATTTTACATAAAGTGTTACAAGTTGTAGTGTGACCTTAATTCCTGGTTGTCAACCAAAGTCCAACTGTCACTAAACACTTTATAGTGCTCAAAAACATTGGCTATCCTTTCCTAGGTCAGTACTAATGATTTAAAAGAAAAACATTCCATGAAGTCACACAAGTAAAAACTTAAGAATTGGGGGGCGGGGGGGGTGACTACTTTTTTTGGGTACGTTCTATCTACACTAATGTGTTTTGCACTCCTTTTTCTGTCTAGACAGAAATCGGTATGCATCACAAATCTCTCCAGACTGCTTTGTGAATTAATAGCTAGTCAGATTACTTAAAGCCAACATCACAGTTTGTCAAATTACCTGCTCTGTACTTCTTTCTTGGATGTTTTGACTTTATACTGATTGAATCCTTCAAAGAACAGGCTGCCTGAAAATGAAAAATCCCATGGAGTCATTTGCCAGCTGTTGATATTTTGACCATTACTCAGCTGTCTGGAGGCAGCCACAAACTGTATTGAATTACGTTAAAACAATTGTCTAATAGCATGGAAGAAGAAAACTATATGAAGTAATTTTTCATAAATTGCAAGGGAATTGCCACATACACATGCTTTTTTTTTTTTCCTAAGCACAATACTGTGTATTTTCACTAAAACCATTGCAATAGTCATCACTTCTCTTGGACTGCGCTTTCTTGTTCCCTGTTTGGCTGCTGTGTTCCAGAGTTTCAACTCTAGTAAGTAACTCCCTTAGAAATCCCCCCCCTATTTCAGCATAATGTTTGAAACTGAAAATATATGGCAAATGTTACAGAAATCCTTACTGCCTCCCCGCACCAAGAAAATCAGCTTTCTGATAGCTGGTGAAATTCAAACACAGAAACTTCAGTAGGTCAGCACAGCATGTTGGACCCTTGCATTTTTTAGTGAAAACAAAAGAATTGTGACGAAGAGTCTGGCTCCCTCTTTCACTGCTGAGCAGCAAAGAAGAGCTTGAAGAGAGCAATCTCCAGTAAGCTATAGCTCAAGATGCCAAACGAAGATAAAAACTGAAAATAAGCTAAAATTATCCTGCACTAAGGTGGTCTGATCAACCTATGTGCTATTGCTTGTCAATCACATTTTCAGTTGTACTCTGCACTCCCAAGGTACCTACAGAAATCCGGTCCTGTCAGTGACCCTGTCTTAACTCTGACTGCTGCAACTGTCCTTGCCTGTTGATGCTTCCAAATTCAAAGTAAACCTCTGATCTTTTTTGCGCTATGTGAGTTAAAAAAAAAAAAAAATGCTGCTATTCCTCTTCATATTTATAAATATTTAAAGCTTATTGGGGTACATTAAGCATCACAGTTATGTTTCTGAATATGTTGATTTCAGCTTCATTGTATACACCTGACAACCTCAAACTAGCTGGCTTAGGCATCTACAGCATCATAACTGCCTTTCTTCTCGAAGCTGAACACTGCTTTATGGACTAAAGTCCTTGCTGCCACAGCAGTATTCCTATTTCTTGTGCCTGAACTGGCTAGACAGCAGCCATCTTGGCTATCGATTACATATGCTTAACCTAGGTTCTGTACCCTAAAACTGTATTATTTTGCCCACAATCACATTTGCTATTGTTCAGTGTTCTTCTCAGTATTTTGTAAGTGCTGTGTATTTTGTAAGTTCTGTATATTTTTTAAAAACTTGTCTTTTCATTTCTTGAGTGACATAAAGCCTATTAAATAACCCAGAATTGCTGCCTGACTGGGTAAAGGTGTAGACAATGGTGATCATCAGAAACAGGTAAACTAAATACTTTTTTCATTGTGTCATTGCAAATTAAGGCATCTACAGGTCTGCCATACTACCATCTATTGTGCTACTGTGCATATTCAGTTCTTCTCTACTTTCACACTTCCCCATTCTTGTTATATAAAAGATACAGAGATACCTAAATGAGCAGAAGTTACCTGGTCAGCATAGTGCTTTGCCATATAGCAGTAGTTAAACATCTGTTGGCTAGGGGAACAAGAGGGAGAACAGGAGACAAGTTGCCTGCAAGATGGCAGGGTTGTGTTTGGTTGGATTTTTACCAGGAATCCACTACTGTGACTACCTGCTGTCTTTGTGCAGCAGAAAACTTAACAGCTTTGAACCTACATCTACAGAAATAGCCCTGTTCGTTGCATCACAATGAGCAACTGCTAATAAAAGGCGGTAGTTGTTTCCCAGGACTGTGTGTGCGTTACAGTGGAGGAAGATAATGGTCACATTGGGAGATGAAGGTGCAGATACAAGAACTACTTTACCATTAATGTAATACATAGAAACATTCCAAAGAGAACACATCACCAATGATGAAATTTGATAAAATGCAACAGTTTTCTGTCTTACCGAAGATTATTCTTCCTAATGGACTCATGAACCATAAAGGGAAAGGATTACTCTGTAAAATGCAATCTTTCTTTCTAAATAACTGACAAAATAGTCAAGCACTTGCATGCCTAAGCATTTTACATGTTTCAGTGAACAGAATGCTTTTGTATTCATTTAGTCAAGTGTTAATTATGTTTTAAGGCCCTGAGAACAGTATTTCAGATCTGCTTTCTGGAAAGCATTTTTGTGATGAAATTATTTGTCAGCTGATGATTGCCAGGAAGTAGAACAGATGTTATTTACTTCAAATCGTCAGATTCTACTTAGCACAGTAACAGAAAGAAAAATAATTACGTAAGTCAGAATGTAAAGCTACAAAAATACTCAGAGCGCTATGTATCCAGAGTGTGTTATGGAAATCTTTAAAGAACATTTCTTTTGTCAAAGTAGTGTTTTATTTCTATGCTTTCCACAGTAGTAAGCCTTTTAACAAGGACCTGGAGGTCAGTGATTCTTGGTTTGGGGGGAGTAAAATGAGTAAAGACAATGGGAGTGTGTTGCTCACACATGCTTTTGCCCAAGCTGCCTTTTGGTTAGTTCTTAGGTTTTTTTATGTTTTCATTTTAGCCAGTTTTCTCAGGAGTGGTCACAAATGTGTTGTAGTTTGCTCATCTAGCTGGGAAGACTGAGTTTTAAACTCTGGTTATTTTAATCACTAATTTATTTTCCATTTCTTTTACAAGGATTACTGCAATTTACCACGTATAATTTTCAAATATACCGCTTCAGTAAACAAACCATATTCTGACAGAATCCATTAGAATTCTTTTATCACTGAAGAATAAAGATCAGCTCTTCTCATATGATTGTTTTACATACTTAAAAACCTGAAAGAACATTATGTGTTAATCAGCTCTGCTGTTTGTTTGAAAAATAGGAATTCTGCTGCTTGTTATATTTTGTAGTACCTTTGCCCTCATTCAAGCAGCCATTCTCTGCATGCTGGCAGTGATTTTCTTTTGCAGTCCTGAAATACCTGGCTTTCAGAATTCTGCTGTTAAATGAACAGGAAACTGGTATGCTGCGTGTATCAGATTGCATCCCCAGAGTCGGTTCAGTCCAGGAGTACGCACGTGTGGTTAACAATATAGCTTCAGCTGCTTACGACACACCAAGACTCTAAAAAAAGCTGGTCTCAGTAGTTAAAAAACTAGCTTGTGTTACCCATTACTTTCCTGATAAGACCTTTCATGAGTCATTAATCTTCATCTGGGTCAGATAAGATCCAACGTGCTACAGTATTATCAGACATGCCTCTTGCAGCTACACAGAATGACTGGTTTGTGTTGCCAAAAAAAGAAGCGTGTTCTGCTGTCTGAAGAACAACTCTGTGCCAAATCTTTAGTTAGTCATTCATTTTTAGCCCTTTTCCAGTACAGGAAGTTTTTTGATACATTGTCATATACAATTGGAAAAATTCTGTAACTTTTTTACTACCTGTTTAAATGAGATAGTAGTCTGCCATTCCACAATGAAAATTAAGAAAGAAAAAAAAATAACTATTAGAAAATGTTTTTCTTCTTTGACCTAAAAGAAGTGAAGCTTACCATACTGAACCTCTTCTACAGAATCATTTTCATGTGAAAATTGTTGGAGTCTGAAATATTTTTCCTCACTTTTCAGTTTGTTTTTATTAACTATATTCCATTGATTTTGTGATAATATGAGAGATTCTGTGTAAATGTCCAAAATGCAAAATGTTGTTTGGTTTTTTTTTAAATGAAACTGAAATCTATAAAACTTCCCTGGTTTTGAGACAAGAAAATGAGCATAATCAAAAGATACTCCATATTAACTAATGTAACATTGTCCAGGTCTAAAATTGTTTAGGTATGTTGTATAAATGCTAGAATTATTTACATTAGCTATCTTATGAATTTTTAAAAATATTAGAATAGTATCAAAAGTAGAGATAAAGTGACTTCTTTGAAGAATCTGTAAAAAATATGCCTAGATAATTAAATAGGCCCTTTATAAATGGATGGGATTGATTTAGAAACCATTACTGTGAGATACAGCATGAAATATGAACGGTTGAGCCTTCATAGCCTTCATACAATTTTTCTGACTGAGTCCCTGGTGTCATCAAAGCATATACTATGGCATATCGAAGTAGAATGAACAGATTTCAAACAGCCACAGAATACACCCATGTCACAGCATTCTGAAGAGCTTCTGGGGATGCTGTTTTGTCTTATATTTTAAATTTATCCATTCTCAGTGCTGTGCAGAGACAGAAATTATCTTCCCAAACTCTGCACAAGGGGAATGTTTATGAACCCAGGGGGTTTAATTCTGGTCAGTTTATACAGAAAAGTGAACTGGAAGGGATGAAAAAATACTTTCTGATGTTACTGGGAATGGGATTTGAGATAAAATGTTGCATTAAATACAGAAAATTTGAGGGAAAGAAGGAATGACATGACATTCATATTGGTGGTATTATTTAGAGACCCAAAAAGAGCTTGCAAGTATTAATTGTGTATGGAAACCAATACATTGATTTGTATGAATTAGTACTATCCTGCATAGAAATGAAAATATTGACTATGTAAAATGACTGTGCAGACTTCTGACTGCAAAATTACTGTTCAAGACAGGCCCCTTCTGAAAACTTTGCTTGGTGGATTTACTTGTTTTTGATACAAGGTGATTTTCATTAAAGCCATTTATGTTGGAAGCTCTTCTGCAGTTCTGCCAGCATTTCTTTGTATAAGGAGCACTTTCTAGTGTCCTTCTAACATACAATGCGAAAATATTGCCTGGTACTTTAAATAGTTTATGATGCACGTTATTTTTCTGTTTATTTCCAGAAGAGATATGTACCCTTGTAATTGCAGAAACTTTTCCTGAAGATTCAGGACTTTTCACATGCACAGCAACAAATGAACATGGTTCAGTAACAAGCAGTGCACAGCTAACTGTCTGCTCAGGTACGTGATGAAGGGAAATGGGAATTTTTAATCATCGATCTTAGATAATTCATTTATCTGTGAAGTTATCAGTCTACTTCACTTGTAGAAAAGGGCTGCTGTAAGATGGGTTTTCTCAACCTCAGAACATTCATATAAAGCAAACTGAATGTTTTTATTGGCTCATTTCCTAGTTTAATTTTTTGTGTGTGTGAAATACGTTTTTAAAGTGTCTGCCACAAGCCTGGCAGATTTTTAAGCATTAGGGTTCTAAGACTAGATGGCAGCAGAGGCAAAATGAAAGCAAATTAAAATTATGCTACCAAAGGTGGCATACGCCTTTTGTAAAATAAAAAACTGTGACACGGTATGTTTAGTTTTGTAATGTGTTTGCATACAGATTGTTGTGGAATGCACTAACCCAGCTGCCACTGCAAACATACCATGTATACATGCATCCTTCAGCATTTTTAAATGATTTGTTCGTAAATGATGCTGAGACTCCAGGAAGAGGAAATGCTGTTTCAGCGGTTGTTGTCTGTACTTGCCAGTCTCAGTTACTGGCTGGATTCCTGAATTAGATTTAGAGGGATCTATAAGATTCCTTAGTGTGCCTTTTGCATGGGGCAAAGTCAGAAAATGAATAGCCAGTCATGTATCTAATTCAGCATAAATTACCAACAAGAGGTCTAGAAAAATGTCTGCATGGAACCAGAGATGTCACCTTTAACAAACTGAAAATGCAGCATTTACGTACCATGTACCATGTGCTTTGTTTAAGACTTGTCAGAGAGACATTCTTTTTGACTTCTTTTAGCCAACTCAGAAAGCTCTAATCATGAATCCCTGACAAGAGAATCCAACAGTGATGATTTCCATCATTTCCCACCACTTCCTCCAGTCGAAATGAGCTCTCTTGAGGTTCCTCCTAAGAAACATACAGAGACCCACCAAGCAAATAACACTGAGATGAGATCTGGTTTTACAGCCCTTCAGCTACAACTCAATTCATCTGAGGAAAAAACAAATGGCATCCATCCCATTCATGGAGTAAATGGAATGATTAACAGCAAGCCAAACAGTAGTAAATCCATCCCACCTCCAGCTGACTTGCTTTCACCCACAAAGGAGCCACCACCTGTGCTTGCCAAACCAAAGCTGTGAGTATTTTTTATTTGGTTTTTTTGTTTCCTATAAACTTGATATTTGTTGAAAGCAAATTTTTGCCTGGAGCAATATAGTGTTAGACAATTAATGGGCAATGAATGTGCCTGTCCCTTGAACAGTCTTCTTACTGCTGTGATTTATGTCCCCGAGAGCTGAACTCAAGAGAGAACTGTGTTCTTTCTCGTAGTGCTACATCAAAGGGAGGTACATTATATATACCAAATTCTATAGAAAGATTTAAGATAAAGTCACAAAAAAGAAATAGGTGGTAGCGGCTGTTGCTCTGCGCTTTTTATTCTTAGTCACTGTACCTAAATGTCATAGCGGCCTGAGATTCTTGCATACTATTCCTGTTTAAACACTGTTAGCTATCTTTATTCTGAATATTCTAGGTTGTGTGTAGTCAGCAGATATTCTGGTGTGTGATATTTGTATTATTTCATATGTTATGTTTCTATGTAACATGTAACTCATTCTGCTGTCAGCCAGATTACCATGGCTCTTTTATAACTAAAAATCTGAAAATTAAAAGCATGTGAGAGGGATGCTATTACAAGAATCCTTTCAGTTGCTGATGTCCAGATTGATGACCTTGGAATTCCTACCACAATTACACTTGAATCCTATATTTCGCCATTAACAACACTTAATGTGCAAGAGACAGATCTTGATTGCAGTCAAGATACATGTTTTGCTTGGCCAAAGCCAGTGTAAGTCTATGCTGCTGTCAGAAATGGAAATCATGCCTTCCCCTCAGCCAAGTATTTTGCTCCCAAGCATAGTGATAGCGGAAGAAAGGCAAAGAGTGCTAACAGGAGGAGGAGAAGAGTGTCTGACTGCAGAGATTTGCAATCAGCTTTCAGCATTTGGGAAACTGCATCCCAAATCAAAGCTATCAAGATAATTGCATTAAAATTAGCTAAGTAATAAAGTAGCTATCATCTCAACCATGAAAGTGACTCCTCTTGAAGAGAACTCACCTATGGAGTTGTCTGTCCACAGAATATTAGTATTTGGTGACAGAAGCAGCATATATTAGCAGTGACATAACAGCATACTTGTTTATTGTAATCTTGATTTTTTAATTATTTAAAAATTTAAAGTAATGTTGGTTATGTAGGGAGTTTGAAGTTTCTGAATATCTTTAGTGAGTTTAATTTTTGATTAAGAATGGCTCCAACTTAAATTTCCTAAAGAACCTTTTCTTTTCTTTTCTAGCTTATCTTAACTCAGAAATTACTTAACAGGTTTATCTGTCTGTGAACTCTCTGAAAATAGTTTGTTCAGCCAGCATTGAAAGTAATAGCAAAGAATTTGGGAATGATGGGCTGGTTTTGGTTTAGTGGTTTTTTTATTACTCTTATTATTATTAGTTTAACAAGGAGAGACTGAGTACCTTCTTGAAGTATGAAATACATTTGTGCCATGGCAATGCAGCTGTAACCAATACCTATAAATAATAATTTACCACAATTCAGTCTAATGCAAGAGCTGGAATGCTACAGAGAGTTCCTGTAGTTGTTTTCAGGCTTGAAAAGTGTTTTTAAAGTCCTACAAAATGCTCAGTTTGTGGTTACAGACATTTAAGTAATCCTTAAGTCATAATATTAGTTGATGCCTCAGTCTGGTGTTGAGAATATTTAAAGCAGAGTTTAATGTGATATACTGAATTTTTTGGGAAAAGTGTATATGGAATTAACTGGGAAAGCTGTCAACAGCAGATATTTTTCTAACATGCAGTTTAGAAGACAATAATGTTAAATATGGTTAAAAGGCATAATATTTTATCGTGCCTTATTTGCAACATGAGTTTATGAAGACAAGAGAAGGACTGTTGAACTGAGACCAAAAAAACCCAGATTTCTGTAATTCCGATCTATGCTGCTGTCACCTATTTAAGGAGGCTGAGCTACTAGTGCGCATTGGAGTTTTCCAGGTGATATTGGTGTAGTGCACAGATGAGCTTTCAGAAGTGTACCCATAAGTGTATGGTATTTTCAGATACTTTGCATCTCTCAAAATTAGGCAAATAAGTGTTAATATTAATTTCAGTGTGTAGCCTGTGTGTGAAAGTGCTGCCTTAAACCCGGCCTGTGTGTGAAAGTGCTGCCTTAAACCCCTCATAATCCTTAGTCTGAATGTCTGCAAAAATTGCAGGACACTGTTCTGTAGAACTGTATATAACACGTCCATGGTTTCAAATGAAGAACTTCCATTCAAGTGGCTTAGTATTACTATTATGTTTCCATGTGTCTGTTAAGGCAGTAACAGAAAAGAAGTTGGTGTTCATATGGTTACTGGATGTAGCTACCTATGTGATGTTAGTTGTTTTTGCTACAGGCCATTGGTTCAAAGTTCATAGACTTCAAGTGACTACCATGTGGTACCAGAATTTCCTGACTGGAGAGCTTCTATTCACATAGCTACTGTCTTATCTTCTTTGTGTTGGAGTATTCTTCCAGTCTGTCATATACAATGATCAGAAGGGCTGTTAGCTTAGTGGGATGCTTCTCCCTTGCAGATGCAGAGAGCAACTGTAGGTATCAATAGCTTTCTTTCTATAGTTAATTCATTAACATAAAGTCAAAAGAAGCCAGTAGGAAGTGACATGTTTGACACCTTTAAAATTAGCACAGAAATACCTGCCCCTGTAGAATGTTCAACATTTTTTTCACTGCATTATCGTGAGAAGTAGTATTTTGCATGGGCATGCATCACACATGCTGTGAAGAAGATGAGTGGGCAGAATTCCTGAATTCTATCGATCATCTAATCCGATTGTCTTAGACAATGTTTTTTTGCAGTGAATATGAAAGGCAGGTATTAATTTTGTAAAAATAATACTTCTTAAAAGGGAAAAGCGGTAAGATATAATTTCTTGCAGTTTATGAAGTTGTTGATAATCGGTATTTCCTTCAACAGACATAACTATATTGTATCCTGTTTTTTCTGAGATTTGGGGTTTTTTTGAAATGTATTCAAAAAGTCTTAGTTTTTAAATAACACACAGAAGAAATTAATCATAAACATAATTTAAAAGATATGAATCAGTTTATCTGTAACATCAGTAAGGAAAATCTGAGATTATAATTAAAATTATTTCTTAAAGATGAGGAGTTAATCTGGTTGATATGGATCAAAATCACTGCTGTGTGAATTGATAGAACTTCCTTAACTAAAAACAGTTGTGTTCATGCTGGTTGTGACGCTACTTCCTGCACGGAGTTATTTGCCACTTCAGCCTCCATTCCTCAGCAGCCAAGTTTTCCGTCACAGTTTCTCCTGTTTGTAATTGATGCCTCAGACATTTGCAAAGATGCTAGTTCAGTCGTTTCTAGAATGTCTCTTACGCCCTTTATTAAAATGTTTATTTCACTGTTTTTCACTCATCACTGAAATTATTCTTAACTTGATCTTTCTGCTAGCAATACTTGTACTTCTGTCGTGTATGAGTGGTTTGGACTGCTTAAAGAATCGCTCTCAAAGGTATTTGCAAGGAGTGATTTTAATAGGAATTTATAAAAATGTGATTTAACAAAGTTTGATGGCAAGGTTCACTCTGTTACTTGTTAAATGCATGGAATACATAAAGGAAAAACTGAGATAGGATTGAGGTAGAACGATTTGGTGAAATGAAAGTGTAAGGGGGTAGGGATACCCTTCTGTTGAGTCACCAGGTTCAGATTGGACCCTTTGCTTTCTAAACTCCTTCTCAGAGAGGAGCCCGGGTGTGGCTGGATCCAGACCTGGCCTTAGACCACAACGGTTTATGTCTAAAGGACATGTCTAGCAGCAGTGTAAGTTTGCTCACAGTTAGAGAGAGAATCACAGGAACTTAACAGCAATTAATCGTTGGTTAATTTAGCATTTACAAAGTGATTAAAAAGGATTCACTACAATCACAATAGTAGGATATTATGATTTGAATCGATTCACACATATGCACACACGCACACAGAAAATATGCATATATAAAGATACCTGTTAAAAATCCCCCTCGAGTTCAGTGAAATACCTCAGATGACTTCTCAGTGGGTGAAGGTGGAGCCTCAAGGAGTGAGGGATCCCTGTAGTTCAGCCCAGGGTAAGTCAGCAGTGGTGACTTCAAACTTCAGAGTTTGCAGGCTCTGAGAGGTGTCCCGCTCAGAGGGAGCTGCTGGTCACAGCCCGCTGCGGTCCAAGAGAGCTCAAAGGGCCTCAGTACCGCTGTTTATAGGGTCATGAGATGATTGACTTCAGTCATCGGTGGATTTCCATCCTGGCCACAATCAGTATGAGGTAGTTCTGGTATCATGAGAGCAACCATACAATTCCAGTACTTCCTAGAATGTACAGTTCTGATATTTACCAGTCAGGTATGATCCAAGCAGCAGAAGTTCCAGGTGCGGTCAGGGAGTGCCTGATCTGCCCAACTCACTGCTCTTCAACAAAGACAAGAACAGTGCCAAGTTGTCCCAGCTCACTGCTCTTGCAAGAAAGGCAAGAACACAATGTTGGCTCGTTCTGAGATTGCCAGGTGGCCCAGTGGGGGGGGCGTCCAATCGTATACATGCTATGATATTTGTAATGCTTATCCTGCCAGGCACCAAGTTTTAAAGAAATGGCAAGAATTTATTACTTCCTTAATAATTGTAGTTCATACATGCAAGGAGTAAGTCACTCCTTAGACAGTATTAGGAAGAGCTGGATAAAAGAGGAACTTATGAGAATAGCCAACAATCCGGTGATTAATGCCTTGGAATATATAAAAGTCAGGTATAAGTCCTTAGTCTGCCTAAGAAACCCCAGGCTGCTGAAGCCCAGAGAACAGACGCTTGTGCTGGGAGCTTTGAAGGCTTTGCATTTGTTCTTATGCAGAACAACAACATTCTAGAAATGTAGAGAAGACACGTGACATAGGAAAACTGTTTTCCATACAATTCTGCTAATGTATGTGTGAATATTATTTGCTTTAGCAGCCTAAATTAGGAAAGACTGGCCACAGAAATGCTGA